CGTTATCTACCCCTAATTGTGCAACTTTCCTTATGGCAGCCTCACCCTTGTGTTGTGGGGTGCACGGATGTGAGTAATTTTCTCCAGGCTGTAATTCATATCTATTGAGTACTGAGTTACTTTAGCTTTTGAGGTCAGAAATGGTGTTTCATCTGTTTGATAAGAGCCTTTATTTTTTAGGGGTACAATTGACATATTTAGTGAGTGAGTTGTCAGTCCACTAGGAGACAGTGATTTGGTGCCATTATGAAGGGAAAAAGTATGTGCAACTTTAAAAAAACAATTTCAGGTCTGATGCCTGATATCCTTTGTGAGGTGGCATGCTGATTTCTGTCTGGAAGCTCAGAAGCAGCGACTGACATAAATACTCTTAAGACTTAGGTTGTGTGAAAGAGAAAATGTGTATCAAAAGATGGTGGACACCTGGCCTTTGCCCAGTGCAGAAGTCAGAAATGTTGAAATATTAGGGCCCTTTAATATGTCTTGGTTCCTGAACAAATTGTGTAGGACAAGAGTGGAAGACAATTCACAAGAGCAAACATTTCAGCTTGCCGGTAAGAAAATTACCAAGATACAGGTTAGGTTTCTAATAATACTTTGTTTGCCACTGACATTAGAGTTGATAATAACAGGATAGTAGCTAGAGCTACCATTTATTTAGAGCTTACTATGTGTCAGGTATTACACAAAATCCTCTCATTTAATCCTCAACAGACTTTCGAAGTAGATATTAGCCTTCATTTTATAGATGATGAAACAGGCTCAAAAGGATGAAGGGGCTTGCCCAGCGCTGGGGTTTCCAGGGACTCAGGACTTGCAGGGCTGAAACTCCGTCAGCTCGTCCTGGGTAACCTGGGATGGTTCGTTACCCTGAGGGTCACCCAGCTGCTGACCCACAGTTGACAGTTAGGAATTAAACCCAATGGGCTCTACACAGTCAGACAGATGGCTCCTCTATTGAAACTTGCCGATCAGCCTCACATTTTCCTCCATTTTGTACACTTTACACACAGTTCTAGGAAGCTTGGTCATTTGGTTTCCAGGTGTCTTGTCAATTAGAAGCTGCACATTGGCCTGGCCTGTGTTGCTCAGTGGCAGAGTGTCGACGTATGAACCAGGAGGTCACAGGCTCGATCCCTAGTCGAGGCATGCAGAAGGCAGGAGAGATCGATGGTTCTCTCTCATCATTGATGTTTCTGTCTCTCCCTTCCTCTCCGAAATCAATACAAATATTTTTTTTAAAAAGAAACTGCACATTGGAAGGGGGAATGGGTGATTCTAGAAAGGCGTGGCCAGGGAAAATGAAATAAACTAATAAAAAGCACAATCAGTACAGAGGTCAGGAGGCATTTATTACAGGGGCAAACATTCCTCAACACGAACAACTATTATTGAACATTTACTATGTGCCAAACACTACGTACTTTATAGGCATTAGATTATTACATTTAATTAAATACTAAATTATTACGAGATAATCCTGTTATTATCCGCTCCCCAGATGAGGAAACTGAGGCATAGACAGGTTAGGTAACTTGCTGAAGGTCACACCGTCAGCGAGGGGCATAGCTGAGATTCAAAGCCAGACAGCCTGTTTCCAGAGCCTGGTCCTCAACATCCCGCTTCAGTGGGGGTCCTTCCTAGACCCTGAGCACAGCAAGTTAGTGATGTTTATTGTGATGTCCCGAATCAGCTGAGAAAAAAAAAATTAAAGTACGGGCATTCATTTTCTTTTGTATTAATTAAACATTTTTAAATCAAGATTACACATGGACATAGATCTACAAAGCCGGCTGCAAAAAAACATCAGACTCCCCTCCCCCAGCTCATTTCCTGCTGCCCAGAGTCATCCGCTTTCAATTCTTACAGCTAGTTGACTCTTGCTGGTAGTTGCAGTCTCTGTCTCTAAATGACATACTTATATTTGTATGGTTGATTATTTTCAGTTTTAGGCATTACCTATTGACACTTTACTATGGAAGAAGAGAATTTTAGCTTGTTCTCTACCTACCCCTATTACACTTGTGTACCATTCCCATCCCCTCCTTCATCCCACGGCACATCCTGGTTTTAGTTAGATCAGTATGTTGTTGGCTCCTTTTATCTTTAGGCCTTCCCTCCTGGGTTGGGCAGATTGTCTAGAGAAGATCATTTGACCATGGGCGGTGGAGAATGCCTGCATTCTGGAAGTCATTGCGTAGGTGGGTGGTGGTGGCAGTGGTGGTGGTGGGGGGACATCTCAATATTTACTATGTAACTTCGCACTGCCTCCCTCTGTCTCCTGAAGTTGGTATGCCTCCCAGAGCCTCCAAGAGTTTGACCCTCAGAGTTTTACTCTCTCCAGAGAATAAACCTTCGACTTCTGCCAGAGCTGGAGGAGTCACAAGGCTGGGACCTAAGCAGACTTCCACCACTTTCAGCAGTAACTTTACCCCCCCACCCCCCCAGCACCTCCAGGGATGTTCAGCTCCAAAGGCCTGAGCCTTTCTGGAGATTCTGTGATGAGTTGCTTCTTGGCCTTCCCTCCTGGCAGATGAGTCACCTTTCCTGGTCTGCTAATTGGTTACCTCATGTCCATCTACTTTCTAGCTTCCAATATTTTAATGTTGTTATTTCCACTCGCTTTGTCCTTGTGATTTTTTGTCTAAGTACAATGCCTTTATTGTTATATTAGTGAGGTTTGGGAAGGTAGCAGAACTAAATGTGTGTGTTTCGGATGTCACCTTTATTCTGAAGTCTGAAAGACATTTTAGAAAGCTTTCCATGCAGAGGGGTCAAAAAAGGTTTTGTTGCTCTGTTGGATAGACAGATAGTTCTCTGGAAAATGGGGTTGTCTATATTTTACCTGCTACTCGAAGTGTAGCTCTAGGACTGGGTGCATTAGTATTACCTGGCATCACCTGAGTGCTTGTTAGACATGCAGATTCCTATTGAATCATAATTAGGATTTTATCAAAATCCCTAAGAGAGTCCTTTGCAAGCTAAAAGCTGAGAAGTGCTAATATGAAACTTTATTCAACTTCTGTAATTAGACTAAGCTAACTCTGATGAATTTAAATCTGGGATTTAAAAATCTTGCTACAGCCACACCGGTGTGGCTCAGTGGTTGAGTGTCAACCCATGAATCAGGAGGTCACGGTTTGATTCCTGGTCAGGGCACATGCCCGGGTTATGGGCTTGATCCTCATTGAGGGACATGCAAGAGGCTGCCAATTAGTGATTCTCTGTCATCATTGATGTTTCGATCTCTCCCTCTCCCTTCCTCTCTGAATCCATCAAAATATATTTAAAAAAAAAATAAAAATCTTGCTACATTCCTCTACTAAATTATTATTCAAAGTTGAAGGTTGCTGTGAGATAATAAAGAATAGTACATAAGTTTTCATGAAAATGCACCCTTTCCCCTTTATACATCTGAGTCTATACATCTGAGTTGGCATCAGATGTGAACCAAAAATTCTGTTACCATGAAAGATGTCAGACTGGTTACGTTCACTTTGTTTCTCATAGTTCTTTCAGTTGGTGATGGGATTTTGTAAATTGGATAGGTAGAGTCTTCCGTGACACTTTGAGCTGCTAATGTCAGGGTGGCTTCTAGTGGCAAAGGATATAGTCACTAATTTTTTATGTCCAGCATCTATCTCAGTGACAGGTAAGTGTTCAATAAATGATTGTGGAATGAGTGCATCTATTAAGACACAATTCCTGAGTTCCAGATATTCACCAACCAACCAGGAATAAGTCTGTTAATTATACAAGGTTGACCAGTTTGAGAAAAAAGTATGGAGAAAAGGCATCTGACTCAGCATTGCTCCTTAGAAGGAGGGGCCAAAGGATAGGTCTCCTGGGAACAGAGCTTGGTGGATCCAGGGCAGAGGCTCAGTTCAGCGTGTATCAGAATCACCTGTCTGGCTCGTTAAAACACAGACTGTTGCCCCATCCTTAGGATTTCTGATTCAGTAGGCCTGAGGTGGGCCCCAAAATGTGCATTTTACACAGTTTCCCAGGTGATGCGGATGATGCGGATTTCACATTTTGAAAACCACTAGTTTAGAGAATTACATATACTTCTGGTGGCTGGAGGCAGGGAGTAGTAAGAGACACTGAAGGCAGAAGCCTAAGGGGTAGGGGTTCCATTGTGGCGGTTGTGGGGGCCATTGGTAGGTTTTACAGAGGACAGTGATGGGCCCCGTTTGTCTTCTGGAAAGATCACTTTGGGTGCGATGTGGAGGATGCGTCCGTGATGGGGCCAGGATGAGGGCCAGAAAACCAAATACAGGGTTAATGGTAGCCAGCAGATGGGAAATAAAAGCTTGGAATAAAGGCGAGAGAAGGAAAGATCCCTTCAATGTGGTGGCCAATTGGAAGGGGGTGGGGAATAACGGGAGGGGTCAATGAGGACCATCCAATTTCCGGCTGGGTGCTTGTTGGGACTGTGTTACTCAACACACAGAGAGAAGTGGGTCTGAAGCAGGGCCCGGGGAGAAGAGCAAAGGAGGTAAGTTGAATTTGAGATGCCAGGAAGATATCTGGGCGGACCTCCCAGCAGATAGTTTTACTTACGGGTCTGGAAGCCAGAAGCGAGAGTTCTAGTAAGTCATCTTAGCCCCATTCCCTCAACCACTTCCATGTGTCTCCTTTATTCCTTGGAGGGGCTTGAGAACAAGATACTTTTAAAGATGTTTTCTCAAGAAAACAAATGTTTAACTTTTTTGATTGGGGGAAGAGAACGAATTGAAGTACAGACTAGTCTTTAACACAAGAAGCCGCCTTCTGTTGGAGAGGCCAGTCAAATCAGGTTTTAGAAAGCTTGAAAGGGTAAAATCACTTGACTGGTCTGCAGACCATATGACGAACAGCTGAGGCTAATTAGCTGGGTTGTGGGTTTCACAGAGATGCCTGATTTTGAAAGTTGATGGAGCAAACTGCTTTTCAAAAGACTCTTTTGAAAAAGTTTTGTAAGTAGGCGATTCTGACTTTAACATTTCTCTTTGTATTAGATAAAAAGTCAGCTTTTTGAAGAGGACATGTGATTGGAAGTTGTCTAATTGTTGAAGTGTTGGGAACTCCAGTCTCTAAAGTCTTAGAAAAACAACTGAGGATTTATACTTTGTCAAGGTATGTTTTACATTTATCTTTTTTTTTTTTTTTTTAAGTCTGAGTTCTGCCATGTCATTTTCAGGCACTTAAAGTGTGTGCAATTTAACATAGACTACCACTGCACATATTAGTATTTTTTTACAAATCAAAGACTTTAAGATGTCTGCTAAATTTCTTGAGTTTAGTTTGAGAAAAGTGCATTTTCAATGACCAGAGAGGGGGTATGAATACTGACTGCATTTCTCCTTTCTTTTCTGTACTTTAATAAAGTAACAGGGTTTTATTCTCAGATAGTATGTTGATTAGGAGAGCTGACTAAGGAATTGAGTTGTTCTCAGAGTCTTGTTCATCCTCTGAGGATTTTATTCACAAAAATTCAAACTTATTGGGATTTTGTTTTTACTATTGTCAATAGCTTTTATGTTAAGTATGTGTTTTGGTGTAAGTTGTATTTTATAAGGTGTATCTTTCCTAGGAATTAAATTTGCCTTAATCTTGTTAGGTTTGGTAATAGCATTGTGGTTATGTAAGGAAAAGTCCATAGATTCGGGGGGGGGGGGTGTAATTAGTATGCAATAATGAAAGATCTGGGTGATGACTTTGAAGCAGATTTTATTACTTTTGGATTTGTACCACTTGTTTGCTAGGGCTGCCAAAACAAAGTACTACCAACTGGGTGGCTTCCACAACAGGCATTTAATTGTCTCAAGTTCTGGAAGCCAGGAGTCTGAGAGCAAGGTGTCGGGCTGGGCTGGCGCCCTTCTGAGGCCTTTCTCCTTGGCTTGTTGATGGCCATCTTCTCCCTGAGTCCCTTCCTGTCATCTTCCGAGTATGCATGTCTGTGTCCAGATTTCTTCTAAGAACACTAGTCAGATTGGGTTAGGGTCCACCCGCTTGATGATCTCCCTAAAGGCCCTATGTTCAAGTAAGGTCACATCTGAAGTACTAGGAGTTAGGACTTCAACATACGAATTTTGGGGCAACACAGTTCAACTCACAGTTGAACAGGTTTCATAATATCATATTTTAAAGATGTGCCTGCAAGTGTAGTGTGTCCAGATTTCTTCTTCCAAGAACACGTCAGATTGGGTTAGGGTCCACCCGCTTGATGATCTCCCTAAAGGCCCTATGTTCAAGTAAGGTCACATTCTGAAGTACTAGGAGTTAGGACTTCAACATACGAATTTTGGGGCAACACAGTTCAACTCACAGTTGAACAGGTTTCATAATATCATATTTTAAAGATGCGCCTGCAAGTTCATTCAATAATCATTTTTTGGCCAAAGTGCCTAGACTGTGCTGGATGTTGAGTGTGTGAAGGTGAATGAGAAATGGCCTCTGCCCACTAACGCTGGTTTAATTAAATATATGTGTATAATTTCCTGTGCCCTGTGTATGTGTTTACTTATCTTTTCTGTTGAGTTGTGGTCACGTTCACTGCCAGGTGTTGCTGGGCACAATCAGAGTCCTGGCACGTGAGCAGCCTAATACTCTTTGAGAGGCACCTGGAAGGGCTCTCTCCTGAGCACCCTCCACATAGGCTAGGAGAGTGGGAGGATCCTTACATTCATCTAATAAAACCTCCCCATTTCACAGCTGAAGAAATTGAGATTTGGAAGTGCTAATGTCATTTGGCTGATTAGTGTCAGAGCAAAGGCAGTGTCCTGTCTTCCACTGTGGCGTGCTGACCAATACCTCACTTAATTTTCTTTGCCACACATTCATGCTTTTCATCTATTCAGAAATCACTGTGGAAAATAGCCTTGATAAAAAGCTGACATTCTCTGTCAAGATTCTTGGATTATAGGTACCCCCCACCCCCCCAAAAAAATCTTTAGGGAGGAATGTTTATTCACGAGGGAGGTTCATCCATAGAATGTCCAGATTGGACTTAAAACATTCCAAAGGGGTTTAATCTTATCTTGGTTGTTTTCTCTGTCTCTTACATTTTCTCCTTGTTCTTCCAAGACATAGTATTCAGTGGCCGAGCAGCCATTAGAATACAAACATTTTTTTCTTCTTTCCTGCTGCTGCCCACAAGACAGAAACTGTGGCAGAAGAGAATGTTGATGAAACTTGCCAGCTAGCCGATGGCACCATGGCAACCAGGACCTGTGCATGTGAGCAGGTCTCAGAGCCTCTGCTGCAGTTTCAGCCTCTGCCCTCCTCAGACCCTCAGTACCTGAGTGCTCAAAGAGGAAATGCTCACCACTTCCCTCGGTTTCTGTTTTCCCTTTTTAACATTAAAGCTTCCTCAGATATCTGCCCATCTTTTGCTATTATTATTTCTTTCTTCTTCCCTTTGCACTTGGTTGATTTAGAGCTAGAGTTCAGGCTATAGCACATGTGATAGCTGATAAGTCATGTAATATGCCCATTCAAAACAAAAGCTGATTTTTGCAGAAGCCATCATTCTTCTGTGCTGTCTTTGCAATAGGACAGCTTCCTGTTTCTTCTACGTTTCTGGTGTGGCTGGGTCCTGGCGAGGTCCCTGCCCTCTGGCGGAGCAGAGGCTGGATTGGTGGGGATTGGAGGGTGGGAGGTAATGAATGAGATGAGGGTGCTGCTTGAGAGAGGAGTTTGCATTGTTGCTGCCTCTGGAGACAGGAGACTTTGCACAAACACAGATGCAAATCATCCAGGAGCCGAGGGCATTGATTTTTTGTTTGTTTTCCCCATTCCATGCTTTATTAGGCGTGTCTTCTCCCTGATGTAGTTTGCGAGGGGATCCTTTAGGCATGAATGTTAGATTCATCATTCAGCAATATTGAATGGATCCCCTGTTTCACAAGAAGGAGAAAGTCCAGACTGTTTTAAGCTCGTACCTCTATGCTGTGGTGACTGACCAGCTTATGGACTATCATTTAAAAAACCTCCTTCCTAGTGTCCTTTTTGGATCTCTCTTACTGATCCTGATATTTTGGCTCTCTTTTCACTCTAAATATCTTTGTTATCACTCCCTTGGCCTCAAGAACTCAACTATGTTGACTCTAACATCCATATTGTTAACCCTTATTTTTCTTTTGTGCCCGAGTTCAGTTTTCCAAATGTCAATTAAACACAACTCCCTGGATGTCCCTCAGACATGAGGGACATTTGGTTGGACGTGTCCCAGAGAGTATAATGTATTTGAGAGTGTATCTGGGTTCAAATTTTGGCTCTGCTTTTTACTGGCTGTGTGACCTTGGAGAACTTACTTAACCTTCCTGTGCATCCGTTTTTTTCATCTGTAAATTAGCTCATTGGGTTGTTGTGAGGATTAAATTAGTATTTAAAAGGGCTTAGAAAAGTACTCAATACATGTTAGTTATAATCATCTCAAACCATCTTTTCCTCTTAATGATAATATTATTCATTCAGTTATCAAGCTAGAAGTTTTGGTTATCTTTAACGCCTATTCCAGTCAGTTAAGAAGTTATACTGATTTTTCTTCCTCCTAAATATATCTTGAATTAATCCCTTCCTCTCTATCCTCACCATTAATGACACAAGTCACTCACCATCATTCCCCATTCTCCTGATCCTCTGTGTATTCCCAGTCTCCATGTGGCTGCCAGAGACATCGTTCTAAGGCACAGACCTTGTGTCCCTCTCCTTCACAAAAGCCTACAGGGGCTTTTCATTGCCCAGAGGAAATGGAAACATGTTAGGGCCATATAGGAGTCCTTACAGGCCTAGGTCCCAAACTCCCATCTTTTAGCCTCTGTTTGGACACATCCTCTCCTGTCCCCATGCACCCATTAGCCACATCCATCTGCCCATGTCCCCTAAATGCATCATAACCTTTTCCTGTCTTATTCCTTTGCAAGTATGAATGCTCTCCTATTCTCCCAGTCAGTCATGCCAGTACTTGCTCCCTTCTCATGGCTCTAAGCTTGGCCTATACTTTGCTGTCTGGAAGCCCTTACTTCCATCAAAAATCAGTTACACCTTTTATCGGATTGGCATCAATGACCATTTTGTTGATAGTGTCTATTCCCTTTAAAGGATAATGCTTATTTGACATATGATGTGCAGCCCTTTACCACATCATCCTGTGAACTGGCTGTTCAATACTTTTGTTGGTCATAACTAGCACAGTAAGACAGGAAATAAAAATAAAAGGTATAGAGAGTTATTGGTGCTGCCAGGGTTCAGGAAGTCCCTGTTTGTGATGCCATTAATATTGGTGAGTGTTTCTCAGCATCTGCAAGGGTTCAGGAAGTCCCTGTTTGGGCGCCATTAATATTGGTGCTGCCAGGGTTCAGGAAGTCCCAGATCGAGTGCCATTAATGCCGGGGTTCTTGTTCCAGCATTAAGAAGGGTTCAGTGCCGTAACCGGTTTGGCTCAGTGGATAGAGCATCAGCCTGCGGACTGGAGGGTCCCGGGTTAGATTCCGGTCAGGGGCATGTACCTTGGTTGCGGGCACATCCCCAGTGTGCAGGAGGCAGCTGATCGATGTTTCTAACTCTCTATCCCTCTCCCTTCCTCTCTGTAAAATATCAATGAAATTTTATATATATATATATATTTAAAGAAGGGTTCAGCAATCTGGAGAAGGCTGTGTGTAACTTAAAGAGTCCAGAGACGAAGCATAATTTTGAAAGGCATATGGGGGTCAGAGGAGCTTAGCTAAAAGGAACTAAGATCTCCTGTCTCAGGACCCCATGCTTTTTATTAACACAAATTGTCCTGAGGCTAGGCAGAGATATACACTTCAAAGGGGTAGGGTTTTGTATACAGAGGCATTGTCAGAATGGGAAGAATTAGCCTACGGCTATTCAGGTGTTTGGCCAGTAGGAGGCAATAACATGTAGATTAAGATGCCCTGAGCTGTCTGGCAGCAAGCAATCATCCCTTTTCAGGTTTGGGGAAAATGCCTTCAGCCATTCCCAACAGGTGACAACATATGTGACTCAGCCCTTGTTGAGTCTCCAAGTTCCATCAACATTTTGATGAAATTCTTGCAATTATGACATGCTAGAATTGACTTTTGGCAGAGAGTAGAAAGGATAAACAAAATGTACTATTTTTAGCTAACAAAGCATTAGCATTAGTATGGCTAAGTAATAAATAGAAGATATGTATGATATTACTCATAATAGTGACACAAATATAAAGTATCAACAGTCTAACGATGTGTAAGATCTTTTATGAAGAGAATTTATTGACAACAGTTTTAAAGGCATTTAAAAGACATAAATACATGGACACAGATAGGTAGGGTCAATATTATGAATATGTCAGTGTTCTGAATTTCATCTAGAGATTTAATTTATGTGGAACTTAGAAGGAAGTGTGAAAGGTCAAGAATGTGCATAGTACAGTGTAGGGGACTAGTCCTCCCAGGCATAAAGTTGTATTGTAAAGTCATGGTAATTAAGGCCTTGTGACATTGGCCCAGGGGTAGTGAAAATGACCAAAGGGACAGAAGAGAGAACCCTAAAACAGATCTGACCATATATGTTGAATTTTTTTCAATAAATGGTACTATGACAGGTATCCTTCAGGGGGAAACAATGAAAGTGAACCCCTCCATATGCCTTAACAAATTACCAATGGACCAAAGACTTAAATGTAAAAGGCAGCACCTTTAGGAAATGATGTAGAAGAATATTTTTATCTCTTTAGATAAGGAAGGATTTCTTCGACAGGATATTATCAGAAACAGCTATCAAAGAAAAGATAGCTAGATTAGACTACTTGGAGATTGAGCAATTAAAAAAGTGAGAAGACAAACCACAAACAGGAAGAAGATATTTACAACATCTATAACTGACAAAGGACTAGCATCAGGAATGTAGGAAGAACTCCCTCCTGCATGTCCATAAGACAAGACAACCCAATAGAAAAACAGGGAAAGAATATCAAAGTGCTTTTCCATAAACAGAACCTGAATGGCCAACAAATTAAAAACAGATGCTCAACCATATTAACAATCAGAGAAATGCTAATTTAGATCACAATATGTTACCATTTTGAGAAGTCTGACAACAAACACCAAATGTTGTTGAAGATGTGAAGTTGGGAGCATAAAACAAGTATATTGGACAACAATTTGGCATTATCTTGTATTACTGAACATTCATCTACCCGTACCCCAGGAATTTCACACTCTCTATCTACCTAGAGCAGAGCCTCTGTGGTGTGCCTGTG